AATAGAGCTGCAATGAACATTTTGGTACATGACTCTTTTTGAATTATGGTTTTCTTATTCCCTCGTGTTTTTAAGATAGAATGCAATTCCTTGGCATGACTGTATCCGTTATCTACTGCTGCATAAAAAATTATTCCCAAACCTAGTGGCTTAAAACAACAATAATCACTAATTGTCTCTCATGGTTACTGTGGGTATAAATTCAGGCAGAATATAGCAAGAGTGGTCTGTTCTGCAGTATCCAGGGCCCTGCAAAGAGACTCACTGGCTAAAATCATCTGGAGTCCTGTTCATCCCACGTCTGATGGCTGATGCTGGGGCCAGGAGCCAGAACATCTACACCAGGCCTCTCCTTTTGACCTGGCCTTCCTCACAACATGCTGACTTCTAAAGACAAGGGTCCAGAGAGAGAGGGAGAGAGGCAGGAGGAGAAGGGGAGGAGGAGGAAGAAGAAGAAGAAGCACACTGGACAGAAGCCATATTGTCTTTTATGACCCAGCCTTGGGAGTCATGCAGCATCACTCCTGCCATGTCCTATTGGTCAAGAGGTTATAGAGGCAGCCCAGGTTCACAGAGAGGGAACAGAGACCCTGCTTCCAGATGGAGGAAAGCAAGATCCTGTGGAATGGGATATATAATTGTGAGGTCACCTTTGAAAAATACAATCTGCTGTATGGCTTAACCTGACCCTTCATCTCCAGCTTACCTTTCCAGCCTCATTTCCCTCTACTCCTTGCCACTCACCCTACACTTTCCATACTGATCTATTTTGTTTAGTTTTTTTCTTTGACGATGACAAACTTTTCCATGCCTCTGAACCCTTGTATATGGTACTCCTTATGCTTGGAATGTCCTTCCTTCTCCCTGTTAACTCCCTAGTGAAAACCTTCTCATGATTCAAGTCCAAGTTCAAGCTGTATCCCTGTAAAGGCTTCTTGTTCCACCCAAAGAAGGTTAACTATTCTCTTCCCTAGGCTTCTATATATGGTATGTACCTCTCTGTCTTACAGTATTATCTGGTTGAATTTTTATCCTCAACAGACTATGAGCAACTCAGAGAAAAGGACCAAGACTTGTTCTTTTCCTTTTGTTGTTCTTTTTTTTTTTTCACATTTCCCTTGTTCTCTCCTGAATGCCAGATATTTAACACGGTGCTTAACACAAGGTCCTCGCTCATTAAATGTGACTTGAATGGCAGAACAAAACTTGAAGGCAAACTTTAGAAAATTGCCATTTCAAGGGCAAGGTGGCTCCCTTGAACTTCTATTGCAAATATTTTTTTCCATTTCTACTATTGCCTGAAATAGTTTACTTTTTTTTTTCAATAACAAAAGAGTTTATTCATGGGATCTTAAGAATTCCAGTTGGGAAGACACAGATTTGGGAGACCCCAAAGGAGTGTTTGGGGGAAGAGAAAGAATTAGGGGCTTATAAGAGAAAAAGTCACAAAGTTGTTAAAAGTTGCCTAGTGATAAAATAGTTTACTTTTTTAAGCTTTACATTTATGAGAGAGAGAGAGAGAGAGGGGGAGGGAGGGAGGAAGAGAGAGAGAGAGAGAGAGAAGGGGGAGAGAGGAGGGGGAGAGAGGAGGGGGAGAGAGAAAGCTGAGTAGAAAGTAGAGAATGCTGTTCAAGGCAAAACACTGTCTCAGTCAAAGTGTGAATGAAGACAACAAAGCCATTTCTATGCATCTAGGGAAGAAAGAGTTTAGAACAAGAACACACTGGCAGGATGAAGGAGTGAGGACACCAACAAGGAGAGCAAGAAAGCAAAAAAGAAAGGCCGTGAACACCACAGCAAATTCTGCTTCACTCACAATTTTGCTGTCAAGCAAATCTTGCTCTTCTTCAGCTGTTTCTGGAGGACTAGAAGCCTGGGGCAAAAGTACTCCATGTTCTGCCTGGTTCCTCAGCAGGAACATAGCCCAGGACTTTTCACCCTCTCTTGCCCTTCCACTGCCCCCTCCAGCCCTGCTGTTGTGCCCACAGGGCTGATGAGGGTGGGGGGGAGGCCCTCCCTGCATGATCACTTACCCCCAGGAGCCCCCAGGTGGCCCTTAATATCTGGCTCTAGCATGAGATTGCCATGAGGTCTGCAGTCCCATTCACAGCTACCTTCCTTTCTGGTCCCTCCATTCTGGTCCTGGCCCTCATTTTCTGGGCTTCTGCAACCAGTATGTCTCTTTGGACTTAAGTTTCTTCATCAGGCCCCCAAACCACCTGAACACGATAATGCTCTGGGGAAGCCCAAGTTTTTAATCACACAGACTCTGGACCCTTCCTTGGGAGACAATCCAGCAAGCCTGGGAGGAAACTAGGAATCTCTTATATTTACAACTGATGAGAAGAGTTTAGAAAAGCCTAGACTAGATGACCACCAATTCCCTTGTTGGGCTTCAATAAATGGTCTTCATCTAAATTATCTCTTCTGTAACACATGGTTATACGATTAACCCTCCAAAGTCACAGCTCTGATCAAGGAGTTTGGGCTTCATCCTGTAGGCATTGGGAAGTCACTATGAGAAGAGTACCATGATCAGACTTAAGATGTGGAAAGGCCACTCTATGTAATATAAAGGGTGTTACAAAAGGAGAAGCAGTAAGGACAAAAGCATTACAATAGTCCAGAAATCCTCTTTTCCAATTAGTGGCTTGGAGCAATCCTGCTTCCCTTATACCACAGGAACTCATCTGGTATCACTTAATTTTAACTGAAATTCTTTGTTATCATGCACAGCTACATATGCTATTCAAGAGATGGGGAGGACTGGGACCAAAGCAGCAGCACTAGAGGTGGAGAGAAAGGGCAGGACAGGGGAATGATAGTGAGATAGAAGATATAGAACTTGGTGAAGAAAGGATTAACACAGAGACCAGTCTGTGCCTTGTAAGGTATTGTAGCCAGTGGAGTGAGAGTGAGAGCTTACCTCTTTTTTAGTAGCACCTTCAGGCATCTCACCACCCCTTCTTTTTCATCATCTTGTTTCCTCCTGCAATGGCCCTAGGAATTTCTCCCATTCCTGGGAATCCTTTGATTCATGCATAGACCTTTTGGACCTTTCTCTCCTTTTTCCTGGCTATTTACAATGTTGAATAGCAATAACTTGCATATCACGTTTCTCTAGGGCTTGCTACCACCTAACCCGTATAATATCCCACAGTAAAAAGGCGAGATAGAAAGCTGGTTTATTCTAGCTCCCCATTCTACTAAATCAATTTCTTAGCTTATCATCTAGGCTATGTCCTAAGCCTTCCTTTACAGGCACGTTAGACTTTTCTTTTCCACGATTTACTTCATTCTTCCTGCCACCGTGCTAGTCTAGGTACAGCTCAAATGCCATCCTTCTGATTCCCATGGAGACATAACCACTCTCTCTTCTGATCTCTATAGCTCTGTACACCTGTTAGAGCATAATGCCTCAACTGTGCTCCCTGCTGGCCTGAACACAGAGCTCCTTGTTGTGAGACACTGGTTTATGCACTTTTATAGTCCTCAGTTCCTAGGAGTTCTATGCTTGTTTTTGTTGGATTATGAAGATGTAATGACCACATTTTACTGAAACCACAACTTGTTTAGCTCAACCGTGCCCTAGTTCTTTATTCCACAGTTGTGAGAATAGCTTTGTAACATAGATTAAAAATTGGAATAGTTTTCCTTTTGTAGTTAAAAAAATAACAATGCGGATCTCCTAATTCGAAGTTTGGCACTTTTCATGAGGATACAGTCACATTAGCTTGGACATTTTCTATTGGAGGAAGTAGGAGACATTTCAGTGGCTCAACACAGTGAGTAAGGGAATAATCAGGACTAGAATTTGGGTTTCCTGAATCCGGATCCAGTGCCTTTTCCATATTGAAATAAGGTAACCAAACAGAAAATTATTACAGTATAGAGAAGACTCTAACAACCTCGACTCAACCTGTTAATAGTACATGAAAACCACTTTACAATGAACAGCCAATTAATGTATTGAGTTCAAATTAAAACAGTGTTTCTGGAAATAATTTACATGCCTTTTTCAGAGAAAACTTTAAAAATATGCAGGAGGATTATCATAGCACAATGAACAATAAGAGAGCAGTGCAAACCAACCAAGTGTCTCTGCAAAGTCCCATAGAATCAGAACAGAAAGAAACAGTGATCTCATAAGCCCATAGAGAAAAGCAGCTCCCTGTATCTGGACCCACCCCTAACATTTGTGGGGTCCATATAAAGAAGAGAAATGAAGACCCAACCACTGTACATTTAAATATTTTACAATTTTTAACTAGACTTATATATCCTTAAATATAAGGTTCTCTTCTGCTTTAACCAATAGACCTTCATGATGGCAAAATGTTTAAATATGTAAAGTTATACTTTTTATTTGACTGAAAGTCAGCAAAATATCAAGACTACTGAATTTCATTATTATTGGGTATGTCTTAGTGTTCTGTTGATGTGCCAGCAGTGTTTGGGTAAGTAATACAGTAAAGACATACATGACTCATAATTATATATTTATTCCACAAAAATGCACCTTTTGCCTTTATTTCATCAAAATCACTATATTGTTATAACCAAGATTTTCACGTAATTTGGTGATGTTGACAGAAATAATTTAAAAGTTTCTTTTAAAAAAGAATTTGAAGTCTACACATTTGAATATATTTCATCAAAAATGTTAATTAAATGAAAATAGAAACATTAAAGTATTTCTTATATTTTCAAAAAAGTTATTTTTTCTAAAATATTTAAAATTTTTAATTAAAATTAAAAGGCAAAATAGAAATTAAAATTAATGAGTATCAAACAGTAAAATTATTGTTTTAAAATATATAATTATATCTCATAAAATATTTTTATAGAAATAAAACTATTAGAAATTCTAGAGTATAATGTCCGTCTAGTTGTCAAGTTAAAGCAGCACTATCATGCTTAATGCATGTTATGTCTAGACCTACATATTATACAAATTTTAGAGTATTATAAATTATTTAATGTTGCAGAATATTCCTCAGTTCATAGAACTGTTAAGAATACCTACCATGTTCATTTGTGACAACCTTAAAAACCAACAATTGGAACACAAAGAGAAGCAAGAAAACGGACACTTGGCACTCTTGGGAAACAATACTTCCACTTTCAAAGAATCTACTGCATTCATGCTCTCTGAGAGAAAGGATCTGGTAAGTGAATTCATTTGTCTTTCCTCTCATCTCTGTGTTGCACTGATCAAATCTGCCTGCACTCTAATGATGACAGCCACTTAACACACTAATCTTCCAGCATGCGAATGCTGTCTTTTGTAAGAGATGAGGAAGAGCATTTCCTCGGGACCTGAATGGTGTTAGTTGTGATTGTGGGTATTTAGGTTTATGAACACTGAGAGTCAGATCCTGAATGACAGAGCTGCTCGTGTATTCTTTACTGAATTTGTTTTTTGTGTATTTGTAACTGCGGCCCCTCTACAGCATGAGTACCAGGGCAGACATTCCTCTTACTCAGATATTGCTTATATGGTCTCCTCTCAGTCCCCCTGAGCACATGAGGTGAACTTTTTCCCCCTTCTGTCTTTTTTTGTGCTCCTTACATCACTGAGAATAGTGTAGGGAAGAGTTACTCACATTGGCACTGTTTTTCAGATACTGAAAAGTGTTAACTGCCCTTGAAACACATTAAATCTTGTGGACCTAAGTACATTTGTTGTCAGTTTTGAAGATTTTCCTTACAAGGATCAAGCTGTGAATTTCTTGAGGTGTGACCTTATAGTTTTCTTTTTCATACTCCCAGGGAGTCTTGCCAGTGCTGGGTACATAAAAGGCCATCAATATTAGACATGCGAATATTGCAGTGGCTCATTTTTAGAATATTTGATTAGTGTGCACTTGATACTCTAACAGGGATATCGGGACTTTGCATTTGTATAATTGAAAGTAAGAAATATGGTCTTTTAATAGTCCAAGTGTCAGCTTGAATATAAGGAGTAAAATGGAAGGAAAAAAAAAAGACTTTTAAGGCTCCAGTAGAGTAGCACACACATGTCTTGAAATACTCTTACCTGCAGACATAGGTCCAAAGTCACTTGTTTAATTCTTGCTTTGACATGGAAGGTATCACATGCTTTAGAAGTGATTTCTGATTATTTTCCTCACATTCTTGCCACCTCTAATTCAAGTGAATTCTAGCTCTCACCCACCTTTCCTGAAACTCAAGTTTTTTTTTAAAATTACTAAAAATGCCTATTCCTGCATAGCCAGAGAAGTAAAAACCGAATTTTAATAACTGGAAATATTGTGGAAATTCATTTTAGATTTCTGAATTATCTAGAATCCAAATATAACTGACAGGGACTTCCCTGGCGGTCCAGTAGTTAAGACTTTGCCTTCCAATGCGGGGGATGTGAGTTCAGTCCCTGGTCAGGGAGCTAAGATCCCACATGCCTTGCAGCCAAAAAACCAAAACATAAAAAAAAAAAAAAAAAGAAGCAATATCATAACAAATTCAATAAAGACCAATATCAAAAGCAACAATTACAACAACAAATATAACTGACTATTGGAACATCTAGTTCCCAAAATAATGTCTGGCCATATCTTTAGATATATAAAATCACATGAATTTGGGATGATCCTAAAGTATATTATAGTAAATTAAAGGTTTTGTTTAATTTGCAATATTAATTTTCTCATTGAGTTCATTATCTTAGGCATTTTTAATGAAAAACACAGGTTAGAAAAACAATAATTTGAGATTACAATCTAGACATGTAATTTTCATATTGAAACGTATATTTGGATATGTATTTCTTTTGCAATTCTGATTTCCATATTTCTCTGGAAAGGCAGCTCTCTCTGGACAGCATATTGCTTTTGGTAGGTTAGCAGGCCCATAAAACTCCTTAAGAGCATTATAGTATGCAGAAATGTTAAAACTGAAAGCTCAAGCTGTTTTAGTTATATAACAGACACTTTTCTTTTTTCGTAGTAGAAAAGTTTGCGTCTTTTCAACTGGCAAGCAGATGTTACCCTGGTGCTGCCTCCATATTCATTAGCCTGTAATGAATCTATTAATTGAATATGTAAGTTTGGCTAATTAGATGTAAGATATTTCTTCAGATTTAAAGGGTAGTAATAAAAAATTTAAACTGCAACACCAGATCAAGCATTTAAGGGTTGATAAATGTGAACTGGAAAGTGCACAGTTCCAATATAAATTAGTTAATTGCCTCTGTTAATTTAGGTGAATTACATTAGCAGAAAGGTCAATCCATTTGAGGCTTGATGTGTTTTTCAAATAGTAAATTAAAAATAGCAAATCAAAGAGCACTACAAAGTGAGAAGCAAGGAGTCCACTTTTCCAATCCAGGGGCTGCAGAGTGGACTCAAGTAACCCCACAGAGTTAACATTCTGTGGGTTAACCAGTGGTTCTCTAGCTGGGCTGTGTCTTATAGACACCAGAAAGCTTTGTTAAAGATATCAATGCCTTGGGCCCCACCTCAGACTAATTGAAATCTCTGGAGATTGGACCGGGCATTCGTATTTTTAAAAGCTCCCTAAATTATTATAATTGGAAACTGGGCTGAAAACCATTGGATTATTCCATGAATGTAATAGCAGGAGTAAAGTGGCAGGTCGATGGCAGGTATGTAAGCATTAGTAGTGTCAAACTTAATGCTCTCTTTTGTTCTTAAGTGGGGAAAAAAATAAACTGCCCTTAGTCCCTAGTGTGTTTTCTCTTCTGGCTAGGCCTGTGCCAGTCTCTTACTTGAGAACATATAACTAGGATTTGGGAAGTGGGAGGCAATCCAGGTATTTGCTTTTGGGAGTTCCAGTTCTACAAGTAGTTACTTACTGGATAACATTAGTTATCTTCACACTAAAAAATGTCAAAGGAGTTCTTTGTTGGGCCATGTTTTGGAAAATGTTACCTTTATCACTTGTGTCTTATGTCCCTCATAGCACCTGGAAGAGTATTAGGCCTATGGAAAGCCCCAACAAAATTATTTGTAATAGGTTGTCTCCTTTCTGATATCACTTTCTTTCACTCTCATTCTGCACTGCATATTCTCACTTCTTTCCTGTCTCATATGGCCCTTGAATTATTTCGCATATGCAGTTACTGTCATTCCACACACTTCTTTTTTGTTCTTCACAGACTCTATGTCAGTGCTTGGCTCATAATGTATCATCAATGAATATTTGTTCAATTGAAGCTATTTGATTGATAGGGGGAGAAAAGAAGTCCTGGTTTAGCAATGTAGTCAAGGAGTCACAGATGCTCTGAAAGGGGGAGTATGTATATCTGAAGCAAGAGACCCTTCCTTTGTAGTCTGGGGCTCGATGTCCAAATTGGATGTCTATATCCTGGCTCTGAATGCCTCCCATTCTTGCCCTGTGCCTTTCACAGATTGAACTGTGGGGTTGAGAAGAAAGATGCTGGCATTCCGCCTCTATTGTCAAGACATCCTCATTATCTTTTCTATGGCTCATTCCAGCAAGTAAAGGAGAACAATGACTGTTCATTTAGCCTCGTTTTCTAATGAACCTGAACCTGGATCCCTGCCCCAAATATCACCAAAGTTCATATGAGGATTACTTATGCCCAAAGACCCACTGGGTAAATGACTGTGTAAGGACAGAAAGAGTTGGGGAAGAAGTTTATATTTTAGAACGGGAGAGTCTTAAAGTGAGTAGTAGTAATGGTTAAGAATTAGTTATGTGTAGACTTGAAGAATTTTTAAAGTAAAAAGAAAAATGCAAACTAAGGAACACAAAAGAAAAACAGAAGAGCAAACTTAGTTACATGCCAACCACTTATCTGGGTGAGGAAAAAAATAAATTCTGGGGCTTGCCTATTAGTAACTCTTCCTCACTCATGATGATAAAAATAGTTGTTTCCAATCTGAGACACACCCATGTGACTTGCTCTGTGATATTACCTTCTCTTAACTATAATGTGAACGGGACTGTAGGGTTCTAAGTACTGCACCTTTTATGGTAAATTTGGCTAATGAACCCTATCTTTTCTTAAAAGTCACAAAGTCTTTTAATGAAAGTCCCTCTCCTAAACTAACTGCAGTGTAAAATTTGTCTGGATCTTGAGGGGTTTTTTTTTCCTCTAAAGTAATTCAGACTAAAACTGTAACATCTAACAAAGATTTATCAGTATTAGACATGTACATTGAATCCAAGCTGTTGCTTTTTAAATGACAATATTCACTTGCACATACATACCATCAACTGCAGAGGGAGCTAATGCCTTTTTCCTCAGGCTCATAAGAAAAGGCTGCAGAGCTGGGATTTTAATTTCTCCCTACGCCTGTTAAGCATGATTATTGATAATGTACTGAGCTCATCTCTGCACCCAAAATTAAGCCTCTAAAACATATATGAGGTGGAACTGGGCTTTACAACAAAGAGGAATCTAGTTTCCACTTTTAAAATAGTCTCCTGAGGCTCTGAAAAGATGGAGGATATATTTTAAAAGGAAAGAATTGTGTTTTGTAACAAAACATGATTTTTGGAGTCATGACCAATTAGGAATCTACTCCCTGCAACCATAAATACTCTTTTTCATAGAATATAGTGACCAGAGGCCACATTGGGCATGGGTACTTAATATGTAGAGAATTTTTATGGTTAATAAATGCCACAATCTCAGCCTCTTTTCTTCTAGATATTGGAAGGAAAAGAATAATTAAGTGAGCATTTAGATCCCAATAAAAAGTTAACATTCACATTAAATTAAAAATATAAGTGAATTTATTTTATAGAAGTTTTCATAATGGGTCGAAAATACTTCGTTAAGCATTTCTGGATAAAAATATGTAAAGCTCTTATAAGCTTTTGTTAATATATTAAATACCATTTCTCTATAAATATACCTTACATTAAGCTTTCCTGTTAGAGTTTTCAGGAAACATTTCAAATAAAGTAGCCAGGCGTATCCCATTTGAGATGAATGAGATCGTTAGGAAACACTTATATCTGAAATAAGCACTGAGATCATTCTGCATACAACCCAAGGGCCCTAATTTTTAAAATATGTCAAACACCATGCCTCTTTCAAATCATTAGACTTAGAGACATTTAAGGAACTGGTTCAATTAACTCAGAAGAAGGCAATGCTATAATGTGTGATTTATTTTTGCAGATAAATTAAAATGCAAGTGTATCTGTTAGAAAAGGTAGGCTGTCATCATGGTTAGTGATGGGAACAGGATGGCAATTAAGCAGGGCCACCTGAGGCTGAAATAGCCCCTAAACACGAAAGATTGAAGTTCAAGCTGGACATTCAGTTATTGTCAAAACCAAAAGTGTTCCTTCGTTGGAAGGAGTCTTTGTGCTCTACTTAGTTTCCCTCATTGACTTCTAAAACATGTTCCTCAGTTTAACAAATACTTTTCCCCTTTAACTGTAATCTGAAGAGAAACCTAAATTGCTATGGTTTCATACCTAAAGTCAAGCTTCATCTCATAAAGCTGATGCCTGAAAATTACAACTTTGCAATTCTACTATTTAGGTGAGGAAATATGAAGCAAGAATTTATTTTTCTCCCTACAACCCCAAGATATTGGCTCCACCAGGCCTAATAAAATGTTTTCACAAGGAAATAAATAGAGCATGCTGTAGCTTATGGTCCCTTGTGCAGGGGGTTTTAAACAAATGTATCCTAAAAAATAGATAATTACAAGTGGGGGAGGGTGGGAGAAGGAAACATTATAAGGGTGGGCAAAAAATACGTTTCTTAGCCAAATCACGGAAAAGACTGAAATTCAAAATGTTAGAAACCTGAAGATAAAGACTGCTACTTCAACCATTGTTGAAATCTATGGAGGAAATGAGAGGACAACAAAACAAGATGATAAAAAGAGAGAGAAAAGGAAAGAAGAATGTGAGAAGAGATTTTAAGGCAGCTTTGAAAGTAACAGCAGAATAAATTCTACTAATAGAAACCAAGAAGACTGAAGTACTTATAATTCACTATTCTTTTCTGCTAAATCTTGTCCTGCATCTTGAATTAGAGTTTGGACAAAAAAATGGCCACAATCATGAGCTGAAGATAGGGGGAAAAGAGAATGATCATGCAAAGAAAAAAAATCTTAGAAATCTATGAACAGAAAAGCTTATAGTAAAAGATGGGGAAAAGTGAAACAAAACTTAAGATCAGGAAGAGAAAATGTCCCTCAATCAGAGAGCTTAGGAAAGTTACATTCATTTACGGTTGAAGTAGTCAGCGGAAATGGAAATGTTTAGGAGAAGAAATGTTTTGGATATGTTTAGGAGAAGAAGCCAAAAGATCCTCACTTTCTTGCCTGAACAAGAAGGGAATCTCTTATTATTCTTCCTCACTGTGTAAAAAACGCTAATAATTCTATCATCCTATTCCTTCCAGCCATGGTGATGGAACTGGAGTTAGCACACCAGAGTTAGGTCAAGGGTGAACACACCCTGTCATATACTTTGTGGAGAATATAAATCAATGGTTTCTGGTTTGTGATAGTCTTTCTTTTTTTTTTTTTTAGTTTTTTTTAAACTTTATTGTATAAATATATTTATTTATGACTGCGTTGGGTCTTCGTTGCTGTGCACAGGCTTTCTCTAGTTGTGGTGAATGGGGGTTACTCTTTGCTGCAGTGCGTGGCCTTCTCATTGCGGTGGCTTCTCTTGCTGTGGAGCAAGGGCTCTAGGCGCACGGGCTTCAGTAGTTGTGGCACACAGGCTCAGTAGTTGTGCTACACAAGCTTAGTTGCTCTGTGCCACGTGGGATCTTCCCAGACCAGGGCTCGAACTCATGTCCCCTGCATTGGCAGGCGGATTCTTAACCACTGCGCCACCAGGGAAGTCCCTGTGATAGTCTTTCTTGACAATATTCATTTATCAGTTTATCAGTTTCCCTTTTCTCTTCCTCAGAATCTTTTGATGACTTGTCCTTCTCAGTGCCTCAAGAATAAAGGCCCTTACAACCTTGAGTCATCTGCCTTGCCAGCCTCATCTGCTGCTCCCCCAGCACCACTGATGTCCTGTAAAAAGCATTCTCACATCTCTGCACCTTTGCTTTTGTGGACTCTTCTTCCTATACTGTCCTTCTCTCCCTTGTTGAAGCCTGACCTTTTAAGGCCTAGCTCAAAGATCAGCGTCCCCAGAGAGCTGGCCTCTTCCTTGATGGGGCACCCAGATCATGTTGTTGATGCTCTTTTGTAACTTTTCCCCACAGCCTCTCATAGTCAGTGATCTCCCTCTCCATGGGGAAGGGCTTAAGCTCACTAACGTCCAGGGCTGTCCATCTTGTTTGTAAACAAGTCTCTAGCACCTTGCCTTGCATTGGAAGGTGCAAGCATGTTTGTAGAATTGTTCCACAAGCATCACTGATTTCCCTTGCTATAGACTTCTCCCTCTCCTCACCTAACCTTACTTTTTATCTCTCAGTTGTATCTCTAACCCTATAAGGTTTTCATCTATTTCATGAACATATTAAGGCATAATTTTTGGCCATAGAGATCCCCTGTGAATTGAAATCTTGTAACTGCCTAAGCTAAGGTTCCTAGTTTCTCAAGAAAAACCAAACCAAAACAACACAAAAACCCAATTCACTCTGGTAACCTTGTGTAGATAACTCTGGGTTCTGAGAGGCTGGAAGTTATTTCTTTAGACTTAATACTAAAATGAAATATTTAGGTCTATTTCTACTGTTGTTTAGTATCCAAGCAATGAGCATAGGGCAGTTTTAGTTACTGAAAGTATCTAAGGCAGGATCTTTTCTGGCTGACACTTAACATCCAAAGAATCAGTAGGCCTCCGCCAGGCTTACATTGAGAGTTAGGAAGGGAAGCGACCTATAAAGGTCTTTTTATTTGGACCCCAGATTTAGCGCATGGAGCCCAAAGCCCATTCTGACATGGGGTGTCTGTTCTTGACGTAGACCTACATACTGACCTCTAGCGTCCCACAAACTAGAAGACCTGTTAGAGCTACAGAAACGCTTAAATTAGGGGGGGTATAGGTATGGGAGCTCAACCCCAAAGGGGCAATTAAATGAGAAGCCCAGTGTCTGGCGGGATGATAGCTGTTAGCGTGAAGAACAACAGAAAAGCAAAACTGGTGTATCCTTATGTGTTTGGGGGCGAGGAGAGTACGGGCTGGAAAGAGGGATGCGAGAAAGACCAGAGGGGTCAGTGCAACTTGCAATTCCCCAGAGCGTACCAGGGCCAAGGCTCCATCCTCCCAGCGCAGCCCAAACCGCCCGGGGTGGTCCCGGCCAGCAGAGGGCAGCAGCTGGGCGGGAGAGTCCTGGCGAGGGCCGCGCGGCGTCGACAGGCTCGCGGGGATACTCATTTTGAGTGTGGGGCGAGAGACTCGCGCCCATCACTACTCGTACCCTACCCTGTGGCCACTGCGCGCTTCAGCCCGCGTTTCGGGAAGTGCGTGTGCGCGGGGACTGGGGTCGCTGCGGAGGGCCGGGCGCACATGCCCGGGGAAGGAGAGCGGAGAGTGTCCCGCGGGTCCCCGGGAGAGAAGGGGAGACGGGTTTCCGCGGGCGCCGGGCGGTAGGGGATCTCCGCGTCCGCTGCAGCGTCGCTCGCCCCATCCTCTGCCGGGCCCCCTCAGCGCCCCAGGCTTCTCCCGCCGACACCGCGACCCGCTCTCGGGGCCGCGTCCGCACCGGGCCGCTCGGGTCCCCCGCCAGCCCCCGCTCGGCTTCCGGGACCCGCGCCCCATATCCACCAAGGTGCGCTTTCCGCTGACACTGCCCCGGCCGGAGCGAGGCCAGTCCACCCAGCTGAGACCCGCGCGGCCGCGGCGCAGGTTTGCGCTCCCGCCGTCGAGGACTGCGGCGGCCGCGTGGGCGTGGGCCGGTCCCTGCGGCCAGGGGGGACAGGGGTACGGCAGGCGCACTTGACCGTGGGCCCCAAGCGTCCGAGCCGCGCTGCTCCGGCGGCGGGCTTTATGTAAATCGGGGCTGAGCCGGGGCGTCCTAGGTAGGATGGACCAGCCCCCCGCGCCTCGGCCCTCACGTCCAATAAGAAGAGCCCCAGCTTGACACCTGCCTATATACAGGCGAGCGCGCCCCTGGCTCGCGGACCGAGCGCACATCCCGCACAAACCACGCCGCGGGCGAGCGAGACCTCGGCCCGCCTTCATGACTTCCAGTAAGATCGAGATGCCCGGCGAGGTGAAGGCCGACCCCGCCGCCCTCATGGCGTCCCTGCACCTCCTGCCGTCGCCCACGCCCAACCTCGAGATCAAGTACACCAAGGTAAGGCGCCGAGAGGGCCTGCCGTCCACGGAGACTTTCTAGAACCTTCCTTCCTCTCCATGGTCTGTTAGGGGAAGAGGGTGGCGTGACGGGGTCTGGGGCCCGGGTTTCCCGGGCCAGTGTGTCGTCCCCGCGCAGCAGAGGGACAACACCCCATCCTCGGCGTTGGGGTTTCTGAAGTCCTGCTGGGATATTGGGACGCGTCGGGGACTCGCCCCAGCCTGCCGCGCGGCGCTGAGGGTCGCCGTCAATGGCTCCTTCCCAAACCGCATTTGCCGCTGCCTTCTGGTCGGATTCTCAGCGTCCCGACTGCTGCGGGGAAGGCGTCGGCACCGCTTCCACTCCTCAAAGGGGTAAGAAGGGTTCCCTGCCAGGTCGGCTACGCAGCCTGGCCGTCTCTTCTTGGCCGTCCACCTTCAGGGGCCGCAGGGCTGCTGGCCGCGCTCGGGTCCTCGGCAGTCCGCACGGTGCGCCGCGAGTGGCTTTCGCGTAGGATCGTCCGGCACGCAGCACTCTGGCCGCCTTTGCAGATTTCATGGAAACCTGGCTGCTGAGTACAGTAGATCCGATGTCAGCATTTCATTCGAATTCTGTAGGCAGTGGCAGTTTTCCTGGAAAACTTGAGAAGTCTTTAAATTCGTGCAAATTAACGGGTTCGCTTTTGAACTGAAAAAAAAAATTTTTTTATAATGAACTCTGACATCTCGGGTTGACCAAGCAGGAATTTTTTGTTGCACCACAACATAAAAAGGAAATGAGTTCTCTACCTTAATGTAAATAGAATTTACTTCCCACAAATTCGACATGGAAAAAATGCATTGATTACACACACGGTGGGGGGGGGGGTGCGGTTATGTTATGGCATTGGGGTGGGAGAGAGAGAGAAATAGATGCGATTTAAAATAATGTTTCTTGGAGTTCCTTTTACAGTTGTCCTGTTTGATTTTCTATTCCTTTTAGTTGATTTCTACTACAGACATCGCCCAATCAACTTAAACACATACTGCACACACACGGTTAAAGTTGTTTTCCATCATGCTTATTACGAGATAAACTAAATTTTGTCCAGAAGTAAATAGTTTGGTTTTGGCTTAAGGGTTGAAAGTGAAATTTATAAAAAATCCATCAGAATATTGAAATTTTACCTGCTAAGTTTTAGGATAAAAATCAGGGTGACTTGTGTTTTGAATGCCAACTTAGATGGATTTAATGTACCTGTTAGCTTTTTAGATGGTGTGACAAATTCTTGAAAGCCATTTTAAGGAGAGGTCGTTAATGGTTACAACCATTTAGGCATTGTTTGCATAACAATGGTGCCAATGTGTGGCAATTCTCCGGGTTTAGGAACAAGCAGGGAAAGCATGCAGCAAAAGAGTTTTGTTTTATGAGAGTCCCTAACCTCTTCAGGCTCTCTTTAAAGGTCTTAGGAGGCAAGAGCTATGCTGGAGAGAGGACTTCAGATTTGGGAGGGTTTGATTTTAGTCTTACTTTGGATTGGATTTTCCTCACAGCCCCTGAAAGGAGTTTTAGGTATCTAGGAATTTAATTTTGAAACTCTTCCAGTTCTCTTTTACTCTGACAACCCTCGCTCTCTTTTTTTCTCTTGTTCTCCCCCAGTAGGAAAGACAACTGATTTATAGCTAATTGAAGCCTTTAATGTGGAGTCTTTTAGCTCAGGGGAGACTTTTATCCAGTATCCACTTTCCCACTTATTACAAAGAAAAACAATCAAAAATGAAATAATGGATTGTAACTTGATTCTTTAATTTGTGGGGAGGAGGCACCTTATTTTAGGCTTGGCAAACAACCCTCATAAACACTGAGTATTACTAATCTAAAGGCAAGCTCTTTTCACAAAACCTTGTAAAATCAGGTATCTGCGAACATTCCCAGCAGCTTTCCTCCTCAGCTCTTTAGTGAGACTTCTGAATTTTCTGAGACAAGCGGCATGGGCAAGCAGCATCTTTAACATGAAGAGCAGAAGCTGCTTTTTTGGTAGCTGAGGGTAATGGGTAATGATTTTTTTTTACTTAAAAGGAAAGTAAGATTAATGGAGAGTTAAAAAAATTCACTTATGATCATGAAATTATATTAGTGAGTTTAAGCAGAAGAGTGAAGAAGGTACAGTGCACAGTCCTTTAGAGCGGTGATACCACATTCATTAGGAATTTTAAAAAGGGTAATAGCTAAAACATTATTATGCTAGCATGATTGTTGAATAACATGTAGGAAAGAAATACAGTATTTGTGTCAGAAAATGGTACAAGACAAATATAGATGGATCCTTAATAATTTTTGTCTTGTTAAATAAAAACTCTTTAGTGAAGGATATATAATGACAGGACTTTAAAATATGACTTGAGGACCAGTATAAAGTCACTACTTTTATGTAAGTGGTGATACTTTGAGTATTTCAAGTAGCATGCATTCAGAAAACTTTGCACTTGTGATGTTGTATTTTTCTGTATTTTTTCACCATTTTCTTTCTTTTTCTAAAAGTATTTTACATTTTTTATAAAAGGGGAATAGGGGAGATCATAAGAAATAAAAGTTACTGCTATTGTCCGTACATGGAAATGCTCCAAAATTAAAGTTCAATCCCAAAGAACGCTGAAAGGGCTGAACTCGTGGTTTTGTATTGACTCTCGGGCAATTACATTTAGTTTTTCAAATAAGCCTTCCTCTCTGAAGTTCCAACACCCATTTAGAACTGATCATCAATAGCAATATCATTTTTTGGAATATATCTATTTTTATTTTCCTAATACAGCAAGCTAGACCCCAAGTTTTAAAAGTGATTCTTTTTTTAAGTAATATGTTTAAACAAAACAAAACAAAAAACTGCAGACTGCCTTAGTCAAGAAAGACTGATAACTCCACCAACATCAAGTAGCGAGGGGACCACTTTGGGGCCGGGAGAATGTGCACTCTCCTCCTTGTATCCTAAGGAGACTGCTTAACAGCTAGCATAGGAGTGTTATTGTTTTTAGCTGTGCTTTTATGAATTAAAGATTTTCTGAGTTGTTCCTATTTTATCAGTCTGGTTTTTAAATTTTTGTATATCTGAATATATTATAGGAGTACACATATTATAAAATCAAGGCTTGCTCTTTGCTGACTGCCCCTAACTACAGGGGAGATCTCTTCCAGATTCCCAGAAGATCTTTGAAAACTACCGACTTTATCCCACCCCTACCTTCTCTATTGTCTCTATCATCTTTTCTGACTCTACTAGTCCCTCCTCCCCCCACCCACTATACACACATGCATTGTGTTGTCTCTCTGTTGATCACTCTGTTGATCTCTCTGTTAGTTTATGCCCATAACTAACACTAACATAAAGGGTTTTGTTTTCCTCTAGCATTTGATACTGTGAGGAGCTAAGACATAGGGAAGAAGGGGGTTATGGAGAGCTGACCCACTAAACTAGAAGAGAAAAAAATAAAAGGCAATTAACTGAAAATTAGAGCTAATGTGCATTGGGTAACTACTATTTATTCTTTTATTTATTCATTTAACAACCTTTTATTGAACACCTACTGTTTTCTGGGATCAATTTCAGTTCAGTTCGAAGGATTTTTAAGTGGCATCTTCCTAACAACAGCGCTTTTCGTTAAGCTGGTTGGGCTGAGGAAGCATGGGCCTCCTAGGAGCTTAAGGTCTTTTTAGAAAGATGGAATGCCAAAATTTGGTTACCAGTATGGCAGTAATTCAGTTGATCAATGTAATAATAACAATAATGATAATACTTATAATGCCACTTACATTGTGTATGGGACCTAATGGCTTACCTAGCACTTTCATATGTATCTTATTTGATCCTTGCAAAACCTTTTGAAGGAGACAGAGTAGGAAGAAGTAAGAATAATTGATAAGGAAGACCTTGGCCTTGACTTATAAAAAATTGATAAGAGCTTTCCTCACCATACACTTTGCTTTTCCTAACAGTCACATACTTTTTTTTGAGAGAGAAAGAGTTTTAAATCTTTATTTTTGTATATTGTTTCTGTTGCAAACATGGAGAGAATATGAACTGGTCTACTTCTTTTAAGAAGGAGCTACGTTTTGTGACTTCTGATTCCCTGGCTTTAAATTACTATATTTGCTATTTCTATGAGTTAGTGGGGGGGGGGGTTTATAGATCTGAGGCAAGATTCTTGCCTATACCAGGGATTATTTCTTAAAAGATGGTACAGGTTTGGTTACTTCCAAAGCTCTAATCAAGATTGTCTGCTTGATCATTAGTTGTTAATCAAATTTCACGTTTAATGGGGACCTCAGGTTTTCAAAACTATACTTTTTCATAATTGGACAGCTTTTTGATGTTTGTATCATCTCCATTTAACCCAGGAAAGCTAAACAACTTCATTGTAGGATTTGAATTAGATAACTTTTCGGGGGTCCTGCCTGATGCCTTCTACTGTACAGGCAGGAATCATATGGAATCATCATTTGCTGAGGTGCTTTTGTCCTTTATTTCTATAAAATGAGGAATTATAGTTTCTCTATGTAAGGGTAGAAGATTCTCTGAGGTGCGTGTTCTGTGAGGTCTGATTTCCTTGCAGCCTGGCTTAAGAGAAGCCAGGCATGCACAAGTTCTCTGTTGCATTAGACGATGATTAGCGTGATGATCAAACCATGACCAAAACAAAAACATCTCAAATATCAACATAGTTCTGTCTCCAGTCTTTCTCAGTTGGATAATAAAATACAAATACTAATGTCTATTTTTATCTTTTTAGTTATCTTAGTGACAGCTTGTAGGGGTCAGCAAACTACAGACTGTCTCTTTGATTTTGTAAATAAAGCTTTATTGTAACACAGCCACACCAATTCACTTACATATTGTCTGTAGCTGTTACTACAGTGGCAGAGTCAGGTAGTTACAACAGGACTGTATGACCCACATTTCAGAAAAAGTTTATGAGCCCTTGACTTACTTAGAAAAAAGAAAGGCTCTGAATAAAAATAGGCCTTTGTTCAAATCTTGGTCAGATTTG